TCCATCAGCCACACCTGTGACTGTGCACCTGCCCCTCTCTTGGCTGTAGGACCCTCACTGGTCCTGAGAGCTCCCCTCCGCTCAGAAGCACACCAGCATCAGCCCCTGGGCAAGGCCTTCCTGTATGTCTCTCGGCCAGGCTTCTCCACAGGGCTCTGGGCTGTGTCCCTCTATGGACTGACCGTCCTGGCGTTGCAAGGCACTGAACATCCCTGGAACCACCACCCCATCTCTCTGACAGCTGGAATCAGTGCTGGCCTGCCCAGACTCTCCTGGGGGCAGCACTGCCTGGCCAAGTCCCCTGTGTAAGAGCCTCAGGAGACTGAGTCCCACTTCCTGGCCCAGGCCTAGCCTGCATCTGCTGAGCAGAATCTGGTGATGAACAGCTCCAGGGCTGAAGGAGCAGGTGTAAAGCTTGAGCTTCCAGGCAGGGACCAGGGTTGCAGCAGGCCCTAGAGGATGAAGGCCAGCTGGAGCCGGAAGCCTGAGACATGGATCCAGGGTGCCTCGCATCCAAGGGGGCAGGTTGAGGGCTGGCAGGTCCCAGGGAATCAGGCATGAGCAGGCCTGGCCACAGCAGGTCAAAGGCTGCTCGCCAGTCCCAGGACTCAGTCCCAGACCTCTTCACACTGGCCTAGCCTGGGCCCAATCCTGAGCTGCCTGCCTCAGGATGGAGCCCATGCCTTTAAGAGCCTCCCCTGTCATGCCAGAAGCCACCAGCAGGCTGTACTCATCCAGGGGCTGCATGGATAGGGCTGTGGTGGGCTGCAGCAGGGAAGCTGGGAGCCCATGGGCCACCTGCTGGGTGTGGTTGTCTGACCAGGGCTCTGGCTTTGGTGGCTGCTGGGTTTCGGAGAGATGGGGACTCAAGGGAGGTGGGGGCCCCCAAAATCTGGCCCACCTCTGAAGCAGAAGGTTGGGGTTGTGGCAGGCAGCAGTGGGCAGGAAGGGAGAGCAGAAAGGATGTGAGAGGGGCCGGAGCGCAAGTCCAGGCTAACAAGACACAAACCCCTAAGGGGGCACAGGCAGGGTGGAGGTGCTGAGTGACCCAGAGGACCCTGCTCTCTTCACACCCCTCCCATCCCTGCCACCACAGCACACTGAGCAGGACCTGAGGCCCTGGGACAGAGGTGGAGGAGGCACAGACTGAGCCCCACAGGTGCTGCATGTCTCTCCACCCACCCTGGCTGCCCTGGCTTTCCCATCCGGGCTATGCCTGCCCTTCCCAGCCTCCACTGCCCAGCCCACAGCAACAACACGCACCAGGAGCCCACCTAACACCCACTGCCCAGCTTCCACCCCTGACCAGAAGGCTGACATTGGCAACCCCGAGGGCCAGCACAGGCAGCTCTGCCTTCTGTGGGTTTGACCTTTGTCAGTACAGACGCCCCACCCCAGAAGGTAAGGGGCAACAGGTCTCTGCAAGGGGCACCTGGAGGCTCTCACAGACAGAGGCACTCAGGAAATGGACTGACACAGGTGCAGTCGATGGAGACACAGACGACCCTGGTAGAGACCTGGGAGGGTTGGAGGTAGGACACAGGGAGGGCAGGGATGCATGGCTGGCAGCCACTCCCTGGCCAGCCCTTGGGCTTATAGCTCAGATCCCAAGTCTGTGTGGTGCATGAGCATGTTCAGTCCCCACGCCCCCAACATTAGGACCCCTCTCACATTCCAGAAGGCAGAATGGTATGGCAGATCCAGCCTTCTGGGGCCTGTCCCAGGCCTGGGTCACTGGTCTATCCTGGGGGGTGTCTGTCATTCCCAGAAGTCTTCTTTTTTTTTTTTTGAGTGGGAGTCTCACTCTGTTGCCCAGACTGGAATTCAGTGGCCGCTCCCAGCCACCGCAGCCTCGACCTGCTGGGCTCCGGCGATCCTTCCGCCTCAGCCTTCCAAGTAGCCGGAATTACAGGCATGTGCTACCATGCCCGGCTGATTTTTTTGATTTATTGTAGAGCTGAGGTCTCGCTGCCCAGGCGGGTCTCGAACCCGCGGGCTCAGGCAATTCACTCACCTCAGCCTCCCAAAGGCGTGGGATTACAGGCTGAGCCACCGAGCCCAGCTTCTTTTGTTTTTGAGTCAAAGTCTCACTGCGTTGCCGAGGCTGGAGTGCAGTGGCACACTCACGGCCACCCCAATGTCAACCCACTGGGCTCCAGTGATTCTTCTGCCTCAGTCTTCCAAGTAGCTGGAACTACATGCACATACTACCATGCCCAGCTAATTGTTTATCATAGAGACAAGGTCTCACCAAGTTGCCTGGGTTGGTCTCGAACCTGTGGGCTCAGGCAATCCACTTGCCTTGCCCTCCCAAAGTGCTGGGATTACAGGCTAAGCCACCGAGCCCAACTCAATCATTTTCTTATAGTATTATAATTGTTCAAGGTCCACTTAGGAGTGAGAACATGTGATACTCAGTTCTTTGTTTCTGTGATACATCACTCAATGTTTTGTTTGAATTGGAGTCTCACTGTCACCCAGGCTGGAGTGCAGTGGCATGCTCATAGCCACCACAGCCTCAACCTGCTGGGTTTAGGTGATCCTTCCGCCTCGGCCTTCTAAGTAGCTGTACTACAGACCGCGCCACCACAACCAGCTAATTTTTGTGATTTATTGTAGAGATGAGGTCTCACCAAGTTGCCCAGGCTGGTCTCAAACCCCCGGGCTCAGGCAATCCTCTCCTTGGCCTTCCAAAGTGCTGGGATTACAGGCTGAGCCACTGCGCCCAGCCCCCAGAAGGCTTCTTAACCTCTTCTGAGTCATGCAGATTTGTGAGAATTTGATGAAACTCATGTCACCTCCTACCAGAAAAGAGCAGTTTTGGAGATTCAGGGTCAAGGCCACGTCCAGACCCCACATCAGTCCTGTCTGGCCTCCCATGTGGCAGGAGTGAAACAGTCTGACTCCCTCAGAAGTGACTGGCATGGCTGGGATTCCTGAACTGCTGAGGCCACACACAGCCCCTCCTGCTAGCCAGGGGCACCAGTGTACAGCCTGTGCCATCTGGTAGCCCCAGGTAGTGGAGGTCAGGACAAGGACACTTGTTCCCACCACTGCAAACAGGAGATGGAACTAAGCCTGCCAGCCCCACCCTGCTCAGGCCTTACCCCCTCCACACCAGGCCCAGGTCCCTTGGGGCCCCAGGAGGCTGACACAGGGACCCTACTGGTACCAGAAGGAGCACTGCTTAGCCTGGGGCCTTGGATGGGTGGGCAGAACCAGAAGGTGAGAAGGGAGAAACACTGGGTTCTGGGAACTGGGGACATCCTGGGCACACACACCAGTAGGGATCCAGGCACCGGCAGCAGATCCGTTTGATCAAGTTCTAGGCTGTAAGCATAGTTGTGGAGGCTATGGCCAGGACACATCTGGGGAGTGGGACCTGGACATAGTGTGCTCAGTTTGGAAAGCTGGGCAGAGTCTGTGGACCCCAAAGTTGGAGCAGGACTGGCGGAGCGGTGTCTCCTGGTAAAATTGACTGGGACAGGTGTGATGGTTCACATCTGTAATCCCAGCATTTGGGAGGCTGAGGCATGAGGACTACTTGAGCCCTGGAATACAAGACCAGCCTGGGCAACATAGTGAGACCTGTCTCTACAAAAATCGTTTTAAAAATTGAGCCAGGTGTGATGATGAGCACCTGTAGTCCCAGCTACTTGGGAGGCCAAGGCAGAGGGATTGCCTGAGCCCAGGGGTTTGAGGCTGTGGTGAGCCATGATCCTGCCACTGCACTCCAGCCTCGGTGACAAATTTCTGACTGCTCAGAGCAGGGATGTCACACAAGAGGACCAACGTGTGGGGGATGTCAGGACATTGGGCAGAGCCCAGCAGGGACAGACAAGGGGTCTATCAAGGATGCTCCCCAGTTCTGACTCCAGGCTGGCCCTGGCCCTCACTGGCCTCCCATGGTGGGACTGCCAGGCGCTTCTGCGAGTCTACCATGCAGTCTAGTTGCATGTTCCCCTGGACTCAAGTCGCTAAACACAGCCCAGACACCATCAAGGCAGTCCTCAGGGGAGCCCACCAGCCCTGGGTGATTCTCTAGGCCCAGGTCTCTGGGGACACAGATGCCCACCACGTCCTCCTCCACATGCAGCTTGGGTGAAGACACAGATGCCCACCACGTCCTCCTCCACATGCAGCTTGGGCGAAGCCCTCCCTGTTTTCCCTGAGAGAACTGAGTGGGCCGTAATGCTCAGGACTTACAGGTAAGGGTGGAGGAAGGGGTCACCCCCAAACCTCAGGGCAGTAAAGGCCTCAGCATACCTGGCCCAGCTTCCCTCTGGGAACCAGACCCGGAGGAGCCAAGGTCGCAGGCCCCCAAGTCCCTGTGGCCCCATCTCCTGCACTACCACAACAGGATGGTGCTGACAGAGGCTCCTAACTCAAAAAGCTGCCACTAGCCAGGCTCGGTGGCTCAGCCTGTAATCCCGCGCCTTGGGAGGCTGAGGTGAGTGGACTGCCTGAGCCCGCGGGTTCGAGACCCGCTTGGGCAACTTGGCGAGACCTCATCTCTACAATAAATAAAAAAATCAGCCGGGCGTGGTAGCGCGCACCTGTAGTTCCAGCTACTCAGAAGGGTGAGGCGGAGGGATCGCCGGAGCCCAGCGGGTCGAGGCTGCGGTGGCCGGGAGTGGCCACTGCACTCCAGTCTGGGAGACAGAGTGAGACTCCAACTCAAAAAAAAAAAAAAAAAAAGCTGCCACCAGAGGGCCAGCCACAGGACCCTTCCCAGTCCTTCCAGAGCCAGACCACAGCCTCCTTTCCCCCACCTGCTGTGGAGAACGTTCCGAAAGGCAGAGATGTGCAATGGGAAGGGACAGATCAGCACCTGGCTGCACACTAGGAAGCCTTCAGTGACACTGGATTGTCTTCCTAGAAAAGAAAAACCCCAGATGGAACCTCGGTCTCCACAGCTAAGCCAGGCAGGGTGGCCAGAGTCAGACAGTGCATGCATCCCACCAAAAAGAACTCCAGTCCTTGATGCAAAGAGGCACACGCACAGCTTGTCTCAGACTTTACTCACTCCTGAATGCACAAGCACAAGGAACACTGCCCAGAGCATGGGGCCCACCAGGTAGGGGCCACTGGCCAGTGCCAGACCTCTTGGGGGTTCCAGGACAATAGGTCCCTCAGGGTCCCGCTGAGCCAATCCCAGCCTGGGGGCAGAGTGGCCTGCACACAAGAAACAAGATTCACCCACTGCCCAAAGGTGGCCCTCCCAGCCACCCAGGCCATGTCCACAGTGCGAGGGGCCCAGCAAGGGTTGCAGAGCCCAGTGGTCAGCACAGAAGGGCTGTGCAGTCACTTCCCGCTGGCTCTCTTCTGCACAACCGCAGGCTCCGACAGCGCCTGCTGCTGCAGCTGCCTGACCAACTCCTCCATGTAGACCTTGAACAGAGGGACAGGGTCCTGCAGGGGAAGGATCATGGTAAGGCCCAGGGCAGCAAGAGCAGCGGAGCTCTGGGAATGGGGGCCACTGCTGCCCAGATACGCAGGAGTAGAGACAGGAGAACTCAGGCTGCTTGGGCTTGGCCACAATGTCACACAGGCTGCTCGTCACCCTTCCACCCTCAACCTGGGGGCACACGCAGTCCTGTTTTGGGGACACAGGAGTGGGGGCACACAACAGTCCCCTGCCTTGGGGACACAGGAGTCACACACCCACCCCTGGGCTCCTTGTGGTCACAGATAAATAGTGCAGAGGGAATAGAGCGCCAGCTACTGGGCCATGGGTGGACTTCCTGTTCTACCACAGGCTCCACACCTCTTGAGGGAACAAACACAATAAGATCCAGGAGGCTGGGCACAGTGGCTCATGCCTATAATCCCAGCATTTTGGGAGCCCAAGGTGAAAAGACTGTCTGAGTCCACAAGTTCAAGATCAGCCTGGGCAACCTGGTGAGACCTCATCTCCACAATAAATAAAAAAAAAAAAAAAAACTGGGCTCGGTGGCTCAGCCTGTAATCCCGTGCCTTTGGGAGGCTGAGGTGAGTGAATTGCCTGAGCCCGCGGGTTCAAGACCCACCTGGGCAGGCGAGACCCCATCTCTACAATAAATCAAGAAAATTAGCCAGGCATGGCAACATGCGCCTGTAGTTCCAGCTACTTGGAAGGCTGTGGGGAAGGATCACCGGATCCCAGCAGGTTGAGGCTGCGGTGGCTGGGAGCAGCCACTGCACTCCAGTCTAGACGACAGTGAGACTCCAATTCAAAAAAAATTAAATAAATAAATAAATAAAAATTAAAAAAATATATCCAGGCATAGTGACGCATGCCTGTAGTTACAGAAGGATCATCTGAGCCCAGTAGGTCACGGCCGTGGTGGCCGTTAGCATGCCACTGCACTCCAACCTGGGCAACAGAGTGAGACTCCAACTCAAAAAAAAAAAAAGGGCCGGGCTCGGTGGCTCAGCCTGTAATCCCAGCACTTTGGGAGGCCGAGGTAAGTGGATTGCCTGAGTCCACGGGTTTGAGACCCGCCTGGGCAACATGGCGAGACCTCATCTCTACAATAAATTAAAAATTAGCCGGGCGTGGTAGCGTGCACCTGTAGTTCCTGCTACTCAGAAGGCTGAGGCCAAAGGATCACCGAAGCCCAGCAGGTCAAGGCTGCGGTGGCCAGGAGCGGCCACTGCACTCCAGTCTGGGCGACAGAGTGAGACTCTAACTCAAAAAAAAAAAAAAATACAGGAGATGCTGAGGAGCCAAGGAAGCTCACAGTGTTAAGACCCCACTCTTCCCCCAAGGGGCTTGGGGCAGGAGAGATGGGGACCTTGAAGTGTGGGAGTGAGCCATGTTCCTCTAGAAGGGCAATGTGCTCTGTGCACAGCGGCAGCTCCTCCCCACATCTGTCCAGGGCCCCTCCAAGGCAGCACACCTTCCCACCCCGGCTGCCAGCTCTGGGAGAGTGGCAGTGGCTAGCACCCACGCGTGCCCACCTTTTCCTCCAAAAGCCTCTGCTTCTCCACAGCCTCTTCCAGGGTCAGGCCGACCCACTCTGCCTCCTCCTCCGGGATGACAAACTCCTGGGTAGGCAGAGACAAAGGGACAGTCAGACCCAGGGCCCATTGCTGGGGCCCCAGAAACAGGAAGCCTGGGCAAACCTCACCTTGTACTTGTCGTAGATGGCCGCCCTCCGCTCAGGGTCATCGGGGTGCAGCTGGGGGTCACAGCGGGCAAGCCTCAGCAGCATCCCTCGTTTCAGATCCATCCCAAACTTGGAGCAAAGATCCTCCTTCGGGGTCTGGCAGGAGGCTCATATGGAACCAGGTGTGACAGCAGTGCCCTATCCACCCCACCCACCCATGGGGCTCCTCTATAGCAGCTGGTGGCCCCACACCAGGCTCAGCCCAGATACAGGGATGGGATCAGGACACAAACATGTCCAACAGCAAGGAGAAGGTGGCTGTGCTCACCCAGATGCTGCAGGCAAGTCAGCTAACCAGCGGTGGCCCCTCCTGCAGGCAGAGAGCACCCACTGGGGCCACCCAGAAAGGGATGCGGCCCCATTCTGCTCTGCCCATGACCCTCCACCAGAGAGCAGCAGGCCCCAAGTAGTGCTGAGCCAGGCCTCCTTGAGTCCCACGGGCCTCGAAACACGCTGTGCACTGCCTTGCACGGCACTTTCTCACCCCTGCTTGCCTTGAGAATATAGAAGTCAAACCCATAGGCCTCATCAATGAGGTCGAGGGTCCGCATGGTCACCGTCACTGTGAACTTCTTGTCCAGGATTTCACTGTAGAACTCACGCCCAAACAGCTGTGGCTTCCACAACTTCTTTACCCTCTTGGAAAGCTGAAGGGGTAGAGACCCCATGAGCACTGCTGCTTCTGCCTACGGACCACATGGGGCCCAAGACACCTTCCCAGTGGACTGGGTCTGTGGAGGCCGCAGCTGCCCTCACCCCAGCCAACTCAGCTCCTTAGTCCTTGGCGCAACGTTGCTAGTGTGTGTTCCGCACAACTGTTACCCCACGACACCCCAGTCACCCCATCCCAAACCAGGACGGCATCAAGGGTTCAAAGGTAAAGAAGGCAGCCTAGGAAGCCTCGAAAACATGTGGCGCCCAGAGGGCAGCCCCCGCAGGACTCCCTCCACAAGCAGTCCCAGGAGCTGGGTGCTGGCCCTTGCAAATCTCCTGAACCTGAGTGCGACTCCACCTTCTTAACAAAGAGGGGAGCAGCGCCTCACAAGTGCCACCCGAATTAAGCAAACGATGGCAAGACTAGCTGGCAGGGCTCCGCCCTCACCTCCCACCTCCTCTCAACACGCAGGCCTCCTCCTGGCTTACATCCGGTCCCTCCCCACGCCAGAGCCTTTGCGCGTGGTGTCGCCCGTCTCAGGACGCCCGTGGGCTCGGCAGCGGGGCCTGCCAGAAGCGCTGTTCCTCGCTGGGGGCACGCTCCTCCGCCGGAGCCGAGCCCCCCGAGGTGCCACGCCCTCCAGGCCCTCGCGGCCGTGCGGCCTTCCGCGCCCACCTTGTCGTTGCCGACGTAGCGGTGGCCCAGGATCCAGCCTTCGCCGCCCCAGAGCCCCCGCTGGGCCTCCGGAGGGTAGTAGATGGGGATGGGCACGTCCTCCACGCGCTCCCGTTGCCCGTTCTCGGGGTTGACCTTGAACTTGGCGTTATGGGGCCGGTAGTGCACAGGGGCAGGCGGCCGCGCCTCCTGCAGGG